ATTGGTTAAGCGGGTGTTCCTTCGTATATGCATTATACATTCAAGCTGGTGTTCCTTTTCATTAAAAAAGTGTTCCATCGTCTAATAAGAAAATGTATAGTCAACATAGTGTTCATCATATGGAGAGGACATTCCTCTTTCGGTAAAGTGTTTCCCTCCCTTCCCCCAAATAGAAAATTAAAAAAAAATTATAAATAAATATTAAGGTTATTTACAACAAAAAACAAATAATTTATCAATGATAGTCTCAATATTTATTTATAATTTTTTTAATTTTCTATTTGGGTGAGGTTAGGGAAAACGCTTTACTATAAGAGGAACATTCTATATAATGAACACTATGTTGAGTATACATTTTCTAATTAGACGGTGGAACACTTTTTTAATGAAAAGGGACACCCGTTAGAATGTATATGTATAGTGCATATACGAAGGAACACCTGCTTAATCAATGCCAACAAGAACAACAAAACAGGAAAAGAAAAGAAGTGAAGCACTATGTAACAACGTCGCGATGCGCAAAACGTGATGTCTTCAGAAACTGGTATACATATATGCCAATGACACTTTCGTATAGATGAATAGAGCCTTGAAAAATCTTATGGGAATTATGGGAATGGGAACGTGAGAATGGGAACAAAAAAAATTTTCTAGGGAATGGGAACGTGGGAATGGGAACGTGGGAATGGGAACAAAAAAATTCTTCTAGGAAATGGGAAAAAGGGAATGGGAACAAAAAGTTTTTTATAGGGAATGGGAATCAGAAAAAGTCGTTCCCGCAGGACACTAGTGGGTGGAAGGTGTGGATGTGGGTGTGAATGCTGAAAGAGGATTTATACCCGCACTCATTAACAACCTCACATCCACGCTCCCACCCACACCGTAGTTTTACTTTATTCTTTTGGGAATGAGAAACTCAGTTAACAAGTTAAATAGATGATCTCAATGAAAATTTCATTTATTTAAGAAAATTAATATCTAACAAATCCAATAGAAACTAATTTCATATTATTTATAACCATTCAAAACAAAACGAAATAATTTAAACTCAAATCGAACAATATCTTTAAAAAACAGACATATTTTTTTAGGAGTGTGATAAAAATACTGACAAGAGTTGAAAATAATCTATGATACTCATCTCTTTTCTATCATTTAGATTAGGAACAAACGTAGCAAACAAAAAAAATGACTTTAAGTTAATAATTTTCGTTCGATTTACACCATCAACTTTGGCTCCTTTCATATAAGAAACAAAGTACAATTTTATTGTATATTTAAGAATACTAGCTAGGTGTTGTACACCTGATTTTCTATGTTTTTTGTTGACACCGATCAATAATCTAGCGTACACTTGTGTGTTAAATACTTCCATATGCATCCTTAGCTCGTGCTTTTTAGCATAACCAGTATGTTTAAAAATACTATGGGTGTATTTCTTTGAATTAGGTAAGAACACAACTTAATCGATTTTGAAGATGCACAGAAGCCAAAGGTATGATGGAAAAAGGAAGAAAAGAAAAAATATCAAAAAAAATATCAAAAAAAATGTAGAAAAGAAATATGTTGGAGAGAAAAATATCGAAATGTGAAATACCGACGGGTAATGATCGTGCAGAAAAACGTCAAAAGAAAAATAGCGAAAAGAAGAAATTTTGAAAAAAATATTGAGTTGAGAAAAATATATTTCGTAATAACCATGAATCGTGTTCAAAGAGAATTTATTGAGTAAAGCAAAGAACAGAAAAGTTCATAATATTAATCTAGATCAAATGTAAATAAATTTTAGATGATGATAGTTTACTTTTTTTTTGGTGATATATTTTTAGCCATGATATACGATAGTCCATCAAAAAGCTCCATCAAATCAATCTCACTATTGTTATACCGTGAATATAAAGTATCAAGTCTTTGTTGTATAGCCTGTGTTCTAGCAGTTTTTGGTCGAGTTAAAAGATCGGCTTTCATTTGAATCATCAAATGATTAAACCTGTTTTCTTCTCCCTGAATGCATTTAATAAAGGTCCAAATATTTAGATGAGATTTAGATAATCTTGACTTCAGTCGATTATAAAAACCTAAAAATGTGTAAGATTGAATAAAATATCTAATTGCTAAAAAACGGTGAAAACCCTCAGCATTATTGTTTGTGCGAATTTCTAATCCATATACATTCCATTGTTTTAAATCGACTTTTTTATCCATTGATTTTCAAAGTACTGAAACAATGGTTTCAATAGCTCAATCTTCGGTGGTGGTGCTTGAAGGAGTAATTCATATAGATCATCAAAAGCTTAAGACTAAAGGCAATGGCAAAAGAGGAAGAGCCATGAGTTTCCTACAAATCATTCGAATATCTTCATTGCTGTTATATTCGTTAGATACTCCAAGACTTTGAATATGTCGATATACGGCCTGTGTGAAGTGGAAATTCCAACCTATATGACTACAATTAGGACACTAAATAAATTAATATATAGCTATTTCGATTCAAATAGAAGTAATGTAGCATATACTTCATTACTAAGAACCTCCGTTAATGCTGGTTCAAAATCCGACATAATAGTAACCGGGCTAAATTTAATATTCATTCCAGGAGCGATATTTTGTAATTCACGAAATAAATATTTATATGTGGATTTTTTTTGTCAGGAAGAAGATCAAAAACACAAACGAAGTCTACAAAGCATTAGAACAACAGCTTTTTATGATAAGATAAAGTCATATTTACATTGTTGATATTTAATAGCATGTAGACAATAGACTTGTTCAAATATCAGTGGTGAGGCACTAAAAGTGCCATCTATCAAAATAATTTGACTTTCAAATAACAACTTTAATTGTTCACGTGATGCCAACAGTAACAGACGGTTTTTCTTTTCATAAATTTATCAACACATAGAAATGGATCACCTTTTAGTGTTTTCGTCTAAGTATCAGGTACATCAAAAATTTGAGAATCTGGTATGACAGGTGTTTCAAGACGTCTTGCTTTACTCAATGAAATATCTTTAAAAATAATTCCTTTTAGAAAGAGGAGAATAAAAACTTCAGTACCTATTTCTCTTTGTGATGGAATAATAGCAATAGCCAATTATGTTAGACAAAATCTCGCTATTTCTTCATCATATATTTTTGGTACCGGAGTAGTTTCATTTTTTGCACGTGCTTTGATAACGTGTTTCAGCTTTCGAACTTCAATCTGTTCAGGTTCAGGTAGATGACTAGGATCAACTGTAGTTCATATTAGAACATCATTTTTATCTGTATTTAAAGTCATAGTACATTCAGGATTTTCACATCGATAATATTTTTTTGTATTTGTTGTTTTATTCTATTTAAAGACGAAATTGTCCATAACTTATAATGGTTTTTCTTTGTGAGAAAAAATGAAAGATAAAGTTTTAGAAACAGTATTCATATTATCTAAAATAAACGGAAGCACTTTCTTTTACATTTGTTTATTTTCCAATATGTAAATAAAACTTTTAAATGAGAAATTCGTTTAAAATCTATTTCTAGTTCGTTGTTAATAGCGACTTTTTATTAGTACAAATAGAAAACAGCTCATAATTCACAGTACATCCATGAAAAGCAAATTAATGATTACGAACAATCATCGATTACATTAACCGTGTATATGTATATTGTTCAGCATCACAAGACTGAAAATAGATAACAGAACCAGCCAAATATAAGAGATTTATTTCAATCGCTACATTCAAGCGAACTCTTATAACTAATACCCTTTCTATTCTATCTGCAACATTCGATTCATTCTCCTTTCTCCTTTTCTCTTTCTCTATTTTGTCTTTTCGTTCTTTTTCCATTCGACGTTTTTCCCTTCTATATTATTCTTTTCGACATTCGTCCATATTTTTCTTCGCCATTTTTCCGTTCCACATTTTTTCTCTCTATCTTTTCCCATCCATTCTGATTTTACATTTACTAAGACATCTTTTCATTTATTAACAGACCCAGATGCGAAATATTTAAGTGCCATGCGTATGGCAAGTGGTTTTTTTGCGTCATCACTAAATTTTAAATTAGAGAAGCGTTAGCAGACATTTATTATAGATATACCAAAAGATTAGAAATGGTTGTTTTATCCATATCCAGTTCATCTCGTCATAAAATGGCGAAACAGATTATTTTCATCAACAGCGGATTTATGTTTTGGAATTGATAAAATCAGTATAAAGCATATAGAAAAATTAATTGATGATGATCAATATAGAAAGTTAGACCATGGAATAACAAGAGCGATATTAACCCAAAGGATCGTCAGAACTACTGCTCGTGCATTAAATTAATACCAGATGATGTTATCAACTTGCTTATTGATCGTATAGACACAAAGGGAACAGTTGTTTATTTAATATTGCTGAAAATGATAGTCAAAGCTTATATTGATAAATCAACCAGTTTGAATGAACGTAAGTCTATTTTTCAAATTAGAAAAAAAGATCCGTCAGTCTTTGCATAAATTAAAAATATTCATGCATTTAGGTATACAATCAACATTGTGTGTTGTATTTGTTTGTCCAATATGGTGGTCTTGGTTAAGACAAGCATCATCTTCGAATTCATCAAAAAGTAAAACAACAAGTGAACAAAAACATTGTATTAACAAATTTTTCATTACAAAACCTGCATATTTGTCTTTTGAATTAAATGCGCATTACCCACTTTATTTGATGTTTTAGTGAAACAACAATATTTACCAAAACAAGCATTAATCAATATACATCTATTTAATTCTCAGGGATGTGAATCCTTCTTTAGAGATGCAAGATCGTTAAGTGGCTCATTCTCAACAATGGTCAACTTCACTATCCGCAACTTTATTCGACGTTCACAAAAACTATCAATATTAAATCAATTCAAATATGAACAATCTGAACATAATCTATTTTTTCCCATGCATCACAAACACAAGCGTGATGATTTATGAGTGTTCTCTGATCAATTAAATGAAATTGATACATTAGATGTTGAACAGATAATATCCAATGCATATGATCAAGCAATACATGTTGTCCAACATTCAAAAATGTTAGATGTACTATACTAACATAATATAATTAGTTTAAAAGAGTTAAGTACATTTGTTTTTGATAATTTAAGTAAGACTTCAAAAATGTTTGGTTATTCTTCACAAATAACAAATGACAACACTGAAGAGTTTGAGTTGGATGAAGAAAATGATGATAATGATCTGCTAAATGATGAACAAGATCACCTCAATGACGAAAACCTATTGGATTTTGAAAATGATAATAACATTGCTGATGAAGACGTACTCACTTCAACAAAATCCGACTTCAATGGAATAAGAATAGTTGACAATATTAATCCGATGTTGAAACAATCGTATTTCAAGATTGAACTAAACAAGAAGATTAAGTATCTTCACAAACAATCGGAATGTTGGTTGTTGTCCAATAAAATAACGAAGCTATCAAGTGATCGATTATCTCTTGTTGTACAGAAAACAGCTAATATCGGTTGATGAGCTTAATTTTTGGAATTTTTTACTGATGGTTTTTCCTTTTGATTTACAAATACATAACACAATTTTTAGTGTTTTCCCATTTAATTTAATTCTATTTATTTAACTTTCAGCCTTTAGAGAACATTTTCAAGCGCTTGTACACAGCTCTCGGTAATTGGATGTACTTCAAAGTACTTCGAGATACTTCAAGTTACTTTTCTACTTTGATCTAATTTTCTACTTCAAGTACCCTGTTTCCCCCTTGGTCAAAGTAATATCATAGAATATGCTTCGATCCTTATCAAAGAGATCATCATCAGGTATGCTTCAGAAAGATTCTATGTACAATGCATAAAATTGGTCATGTTTAGTAGATAGGAAAGGTTTTAAGCAACTTTCATAGAAGTCTACAAACAATGGCAAGTTTTCTGGATAAAATTTAGGTTAAATTGACAACATCAGAATAGTGTGAGCAGGTCAGAAGGAAGTCTTGTAGTTTTATGAGAGATGCTTGATTATAGGAAAATTATTTCTCTAATACATGTTCGGATTTTTTTATTTTTGCCATTTATGGAGTACTCATAAATATGGTCAACGACTTGTTATCGTGAAAGATAGTTTTTGCTGGATTTTGATATGGGTTGATGATGTAATCACCGTCATCGATGCCAATAGTGGGATAGGTTTAGTTGCTTTTTTATGAATTGACCGGGCGTTTTCTGTTAGTTTTAATGCTTTGAATATCGATATCGAGTTGTGGAAAGGAGTATGTAGAGACAGATTATTTCGTAGGCTCTATATGCAATTAAACGATCAATTTTGTGATATGAATTTCTTGGCTATCGTGGATTTCGAGTTTTGCTGCGTCCTATATGAAAGTTATTGATGCGTATGCTTATGGTTACTTATTATTTAGGTTTCTTATACTGATTCTTCGAAATAGATTCACGTATCTTTGGGGACATTTTTCATGTAGTTGGAAAAATATTCTGAAAGAAGCCACATGCCATACGATGCAGATATTTTAGTTTTTAAATAGATAGATCCGTATGTTTTGCCAGTTGAGAGTGTACTGTTCGAGACTACGGATTTGAAGATTAATGTTATCATCTTGATTGAAAATTTCGATTTTAAATGGCTGCTTGTAGTTGGAGTTTGGAAGGTTGTTTGATCATGTAGGTGAAAGACCTTACCGGAAGTCTGAAGAAATTTTTTGTTAATGTATGTTTTTCCGAATCAATGAGAAAGGTCTAACACGTAGTAGACATGAGGCTAGGTATCAAAAGGGTGTGGGTGCTAGTGTATGTATTTTTATTTTCTTATTCGACACCACCCACACCCATCCGACGTATTATCTCTGTGATCAAAAGATAGAGCTCTGAGCCAGGCAATTTTTTTTAGCTCGTGAAATTCTCTATCGAATGGTATATAATAGTTGGGATTTTATTTGACTAAGATAGGAAAAGCTTTTTTGTGGAACTCACGTATGTTTTCGAAGAAAATAGTGAGTGTAAGTTTTCAGTTCGAGTTTCGCGGCTCCCCCTCACCCCATTACAGACATACCCCCCCTCCCCCTTACAGACTACAACAACCGCGCATCGCTGCAGATTTATTTAGCAATAAAACGAAGCAAATTAAACAATATTAAGAATATCAGTTCTACTGCTATATAATATCTCAATACTTTCATACTTATTTAAAAAAGACCTATATCTTTATTAAAGTTCGTAATAATGTAGTCGTGAATTTTTCTTTTAATTTGAGCTTGCGTGTTAAAAGTCAAGGAGGCAAAGTAATAATATAAATTAATCTGTTATAGCAGTCATATAATTAATATGAGATGTATGATTCGATCTTTTTATCAGTGTGAATGATAGACAATATCGGCATTATGGATTAATTGAGACATAAGCTAGTGTAAGAGTTGTTAATACATATAACCTACATTATTTTAATAGTTCTCTTCATTAAATAGTTGATGGTGCAGAAAAATAATTTCAAATTAAAAAACAAAAAAAAATGATTATTATCAAGTATATAGCAATAATTATAAATGAAATTGAGCGCGCTTAAATGTAAAAACAATATTTTCGTTTTTTAATATATTTTTTTTAATATACAAATAAATAATAAATTCCCGCTCTTTTCATCGATTTTCAATGAAAATAACTATAGTTGACAAGAAGTCTTTCAGTATACAGATGATGCGTCAGGTAACAAAGCTACACGTATACGTGACTTCCACATTTTGGCCCCAAAAGAGCTACGCTGACAAGCTTTTTTATGAAAGTGGAGATAAGTCGATTTTCTTATAGGAAATCATAGGGGAAAATGAGTATTTTTGCAATAAATCAGGAACAACTCGGCCAATCCTTCTCATCTTCAAACTTGATCGAGATATTGTTGAGACTAAACTGTGTACGAAATTTCATCATAATCGAATTTTTCTCTCAAAAGTTATCGTGTGAACTGCCCGACACACTGACCGATTCAAGAGTGTACTCAGTTTTTGAATACACAAAAAAAAACAGATATATTTTTCATGAACGCTCCCTTAACTGAGAAAGGGTTGGTGAACGATGAGCACGAGGAACGATGAGCACGGAAAGTTAAGCACGGAAACTTCAGCACTGGAACGATAAACACAGGAATGATGAGCACAGGAACGATAAGCACGAGGATCGTTAAGCACGAGAATGTTCAGCACCGGAATTTTCAGCTCGAGAAAAATAAAGATCTTGAGGGTGTGAGTGTTGAGATTAGGGGAAGTCGCCAAACCCTCACACTCACGTCCGAACCTGTACCTGCACCCGTACCCTCACATTCACACTCAAACCTGCAGCTGCACCCGCACCATCACACCCGAACCTATACCTGCACCCGTACCCTCACATTCACACTCAAACCTGCAGCTGCACCCGCACTCTCACACCTGCACTCGCACCTGTACCTGCATCCACATCCTCACACCCATACCCAAACCTGTACCTGCACCCTCACACCCGAACCTGTAACTGCACTTGCACCCGTACCCGCACCCTCACACCCCAAATTCACACCTCTACCTTCCCAACCCAAGGATGCAGGTATGGGTGGGAGAGAAAATGTTTAGGAAGTTAACACGGACTCCCCCTAAACCCGACACTCACACCCTCAAGATCTTTATTTTTCTCGAGCTGAAAATTCCGGTGCTGAACATTCTCGTGCTTAACGATCCTCGTGCTTATCGTTCCTGTGCTCATCATTCCTGTGCTTATCGTTTCAGTGCTGAAGTTTCCGTGCTTAACTTTCCGTGCTCTTCGTTCTTCGTGCTCATCGTTCCGGTTCCCCTGAGAAATTCAAATTTCAACGAAATTAATTGCAATTACTCTACATTTTCTTCCGAGTTTTAAAATTCTGGCGCGCTTTATATTGTTTTTTACTGTGTAATTACTGCAAAAGGCCTTTGCTATTTGTATCACACATTTTAGTATTATCCAGCATTTAGAAGATGTCTTTATGGAAGGAAAAGGAAATTTTTTCATTTAATATCGAGAAACATTTTGAAAATTACTTGACGACGTCAAATTTTCTAAGTTTTTGTTGTTGTGAACTACACCATTTCTTCTTTGTATTTCTGGTAAGAAAGAAACGACTTTCATACTCTTCATTATCTTCAAGAGCTTATTGATTTGTCAAACAAACGAGACCCAGATTGCTTTTCTATTGATCATGTAGGTGTGGCGTGTGGGATATCGGATGTGGGTGTGGGTGTGGGTTGTGGGGTATGGGGTGTGGGGTGTGGGTGCGGTTCTTCTATTTATCTACACCCACACCCAACATCCATATAACCCTGGATTGGCCCAAAAAACACCATGTTTTACCCTTACAATAGTAGAAAAATCCTACCAGCTCAGACAATAACCTGGTAGCTTTCTCTACTAGTATCAGGATAAAACATGGTGTTGTTATGGCAAATCCCGGGATTATCTATAATCTTCTCTCATATAACCCGAACAATAGCATGTTTGATCCTTAAAATACAAATATTAATTGGAAACCTGGGCAGGCTGGCCAATCTCCAATATAATAATCAAGCACTAAAATGAATTACAATAGGTTTTTGCAATCACATTTTAAAGATTAAATTTTTTTCATTTCTCAATAGGAACAAACTAAAAAAGTAAAATTATCGTCAGTAAAGCGACTTGGTAAATAAATGCTTGTAGCTTATGCTTCATGTAACTTGTGTCTGGCATTTCCTGTATTTCTTACTTGTGCACTTGCATGATTTAACACAAGAAGTCATACAGTATATAAAAGCCAGGGAACATATGCTACCCAAAACAATGATAAAGAAAAGTCATAGCACTGGTTTTGGCTGTTCCAATTGTACAATTTGGTGTTCGATAGTACTATAATAACAAGCAAACACTTTGCCAATCTAGAAAAAGAAAAAATAAACATTAAGAGTTGAGATC